GGGGAAATTAGTGTTGCAATGCCTTGAAGATAACTGGTCAAAAGGCAGCAGAGAGGGTCAGTAATAGCTCCCACATTATATAATATTACAAGGGCTAGTTTCATGCAATTATTGAAATTTGATACTATCTCTTTCTCGTGGAACTTTTAAAGTATTGAAGTAGTTTGCTATATTTTATTTAAAATCAAATCACTAAAATGTGTTTAAAACTTAAAAGAATAAGCATTTAAAGTGCAATTTAAAATCTATGCATTTCCCCAATCATTACCGGAGGTAATAGTACTTTTAATATTGAAAAATATAAAAACGACAAAAAAAGAAACAAAAGCTCTCAGATTTTACCCTCCGGCTATTTCGCAAATGGCAAAATATGGCGAATATTTCTTCTCTAGATTTTCCTATTGAATAACATAGAAAAATTTGTATGGTAATAGAAAGAAAAGTTTTTTGGTCATAATGTGGTCATTTAGGTGCGTGATTGCCAGATTGCTGAGGGAATAAAAATAGTTTCACACAGAATCTGTGGACACTTAACTTAAAATATATTGAGATTTGATTTAGTTTCATTCGAATTAGTTGATTAAAACTTTCTTATCATGCTCAAGAAATTTATTGTATGCTAATTTGAATTAAGTTCACTAAATATTAACAATATTGGTTTAATTAAAGATAACATTTTTATTATGGACACGCGTTTTCTATATAATTTAAAAAATTCTTGGCGAAAAAAGCCGTTATATGCATACGCATAGTATATCCGTTATATGCATACGTAGCAGTGAAAAAGTTCGTTTTAGGCATACGTATAAAGATGCAACATAAATATATGTATGTTTATTTTAAGGAATATTCTCTAGATTTTATTTGTTTAACTGTAAAAAAAATATTTTAAAATATTTTTCAGAAAGCTAATGATACAAATAAGTTATTTTCTTACGTTTTTAAAATATCAATGAGAGCAAAACTATATATAAAAAAAATCTAAAACTGTATATTAAACTAAGCGAAGCATTTTGACTTCGTCATACATAGATTATTTTATTTTACAAAAAATGTAAGACGATCAAATCATTACTTGGCTATCATTTTTCAAAAACAAATTTATTGTGAAAATATATCTAATATGTTTCGAGAATACATATTGTCATATAAATTCTCCTGCAGTTTATTCTTCAAAACAAAAAGAATCACCTAGGTAATCAAGAAATAATCTTCATAAATACTCTTTATGATCTTTTTCTTCTTCAAAGAAGCGTTATTTGAAAATTATTATTTTATAAATATTATAAGAAGATGCGTTAATAGTGCTTGGAAACTTAAAATAGCTCAAAACATAAATACAGTTAAAAATAAACTACATATTCCCAAATATTTTCTAAATTTCACGGTTAAAAGATCATTTTCCACATATGCTAGTCTCTGGTGCTTATTTCTCAAAAATAATAATCGACCGTAATTTCTATTCATTTACAAGCAAATAATATTCGTTAAAATATTGCAAAATGTAATAAATATAATTTAAATGTACAAACAAATGTATAACATATATATCTCATTAATTTTATGTTTCATAATTTAACTGCATAGATAGATTATTTCTCTAGAGAACAGTTTCATTGACAGGCAGATGTATCAGGGCTATTGTTGTGTCAAGGTAGCTTCAGTGTGTATTTTTTGAATACCTTTACTTTTCGTATTATCTCGTTCCTCCATCATTCAATATATCATGTTTCTCAATTATTTCAACTACGTCGGGAATTGGAACATGGACAAAAATAATGATAAATTGTGTAAATAGAAGCTTTTATTGTCAGGCCTTTATGGCATTGTTTTCCATACAAATAGGAGAGATGCTGCTTAGATTCGATTTATGCATTATTAATTCAAAAGCGAAATACGCACGGCAAATATAATAAAGAGAATAGGAGCAACACCGAAACAAATGTTTTCTAGAATATGGAATAATACACTATTCAAATAAAATTTCACTTTTATTCATGACCCATTGAGAGTAAACTTTAATAAACAAATTTGATTAAATTTAAAACATGTAAATACTGTTTTAAATTAGTTTTAAGTATTGTATGGGAAATTTATTAAACTCGAATAGTTAATTTAAAATTAAAGTGCTTTGAAAGATAGGAGATTTGAATTGAATACACGCTTATACGATTCATTGATTTCAAATAATTTATTTAAAAGATTTTGTTACGTTTGGTGAATTAAATATTAGAACGGAATTAAGTTTAAAAACAACTTTTGTTGCTGATTTTTAACTTGTAAAAATTATTTTTCAATTTGTGTCAATTATTATTCAGGAGATTATGAAGTGAATAATAGCATTTGCATAAGAATTGAGGTTTGTTTTCATATTAATTAAAAAATTTTGCCTTGAAAATTATGTAACGTTAAAATAAAAAATATAATTATTGTGGTAGCATAAATCTTTACTCTAAGAAATTTGACCTAATATATTTTCATGTATATTTTAAAATTGTGAATATTAAAAATAGCTAAAGAAATTAAACGCGAAACTTGTAATTAGAATTCGTACTCTATTTACAGATGAAGGCAGGGAAAAAAAGAAAAAAAATCTCAAATTATTTTATTATATAAGTAAACCAATTTCTTTACAATATGTGTGTTCATTTCTTTTAGTCGATTATAAAATATTTGGTTATACAATATTTTTAATATATCTCTTAATTTACCTATTATTTTTGTTGGTTTTTTACAATAAGTTAAGTAAAAGATGCGATGATTTAGAATTGTTCATGCAGGGAAAACAATAATGTAAAATCGTATGTTTGTGCTGCATGGTTAAAAATTCTGGATGAAATAACGGTAAAACGTACCAGCACCAAGTAAGTACCGGCCTTAATGATTAAATCCATTTTTAACGTAAAATGTTGCGAAACAAAAAAATCTGGCGTATCGTAATTTCAATAGTAACATTTAACATAAAATCACTGAGTCACTATAATTATATAAATATTATTGTAAAAACTAAGGTATAAAAGTTTTACTGTAAAAATAGATTTTACGGTGAATTGAACTTTACAAATAATGCCCCCAGTGTGTCAGTACTTTTGATAGTATTTTTAGGTGGAATTTCCAACAGTGTATACATAATCTTTTGACAGTGATTATTGCACACTGAAGTATCAGGACTCTAAAGCAATTACTTCAGTAGGAATGGAATAGTTTAAAGGTAGAAGACTTGGGCACATGGCTGAAAATTTTAATAAGCGCTTGCGTCTCTACATCGCTGATTTACTACATTTGATTTGCTCGTGATTTATTTGATTAAGTCTTACTTAATGAAAATATCGTTTTATTGTGACTCCGGATTTATTATTTTTAGGCTGAAAATTTTTTCGAAAATCTTGCTGGAATTAAATAATAATTATTTTATAAATCGTAAATAAAGTAAATAAATATGAGTTTATAAAAAAAAAATATCTCAGATATTTTCGTACTTTTTATAATAGGTGAAATATGACTAACATATTTCAAATTATTTAAAAATTTTAAATTTATTTAGTTAAAAGAATTATTGTGAGATCGTATTATGCATTCCAATTAATCTAAAAATTAAAGAGGCTAAAATTGTACACTTTGGTGTATTTTGTTAGGATAAAAAGGAAACCGAAATTAGTTGTAAATATTGAAAACAGATAGCTGTCGCTGCTATTGAATAAGCTATAATGCATGCATAAGCTATAATTCTCCTGCACGACACATCATTCCAAATTAAATATTTTCACGGGCATCTGTTAACATGCTTATTACTAATTTTAAAAAAATACATAATCATTTATTGCTTAATGAATGATTATGACTCCTGTAGGGAATGCAGTAAACCGACCATTTCTTTCTTCTCTTGTTTTTTATAATGAAATTTAAAGACATATCTGATATCCAGCTGACAGCGTTGTTTTCGTAATTTTCCAGTCAGAATCACCACCTTTTGTCAAGCTCTGTAACTGTTTGTTTAAACTTGGGAGGAATAAATCATTAGTTTCTTGAACAGAACACAGCAAAGCGTATATTTTTATGTTCTTTCACATTTTCTATATGTATTTAGTATATTTCTATATAATCGTATATTTCTATGTTCTACACTGTTAAAAGTTTCCTTCTAAAATTACGGTAATATAACTGGCAGCTGTTTGTCCATCCGATTTACGGAAAAGAAAATATTTTTCCTTTATGGTATTATAACCATTTACAAAAATATCGTTATAAAACCATGAATACAAAACTATACGGTTTTTTAGCCATTTACAACTAGCATTTTTTAAAAACGTTATAATTTTTTAACTAGACATAGAAGCTTGTCTTTTCGAAAGTTAATGGTTATAGGAGAGTGTCGGACACTGGGAATTCTTCACGTGTTGAATGGAATGGAGAAAATATTGTAGTGTCAACACTAGGACTCGAACTCCAGTTCAGATGGTCATGAGATTGACAGATGACCCCGCTCGGCTATTATATGTTCACTGGAGCGAAGAACTAAGTAGCTTCATTAGGTGGTTCTAGTTGGTGCGATAAAATTCTGGTTGTTTAACCGTATTAGGTGAAAGCAGTTAATAAACAGTTTTTCTTAAACTTAACAGTTTGATTACCATTTCATTTATGGTTATTTAAATGTGTTAATTAAATATGGTAAAATAGCCATGCAATCAATTGTTATTTAACCATTTCTTCCGAGAAATTTCTAACAGTGTATTTCAGCAAATTTTTTAAATCTCTTTTCATTTTTGAGACACTCGTTACTTTTGAGGCACTCTAGCTACTATTATTATACCTATATATATTTTTTGTCTTACTATTATTTTTTTCAAAAAAATAGTAGTATACTTTATACTATTTTTTTAAAAAATAAAATAAAGTAAACCCAAAAGTCAATGTTAAGGATATTCAACTGTTATGTGCTTACTAACAAATAAATTTACAGTCTCAACATATCATTAATGACTAAAATGTTTTACATTTAGGTCTCTTGGATCAGATTACGAGATTTTCATCTTCTAACAGTTGGATTATACACATATACAAGCGATACAAGATTCCAGACTATGTACAACGAATATGCAACCGACTGGGCTTTACAGATCAAATATCCCCAATTATCTGATGAGGGTCTTTATGAATGCCAAGTTAGTTCTGATCCACCAGCTAGTCATTACGTTTGGTTAAAAGTCATAGGTACTTATACAAATTGGATTATGCATTAAATGTTAAGGAAAATTGTAAAAGCAATTTTTTTTTTGTTGCGCGTTTTCATTTGCATTTCTAAATGTATTTATGCTATTCAATGCCTTTTTAATTATATCATTGTTGTAATTGTTTAATTATGTAATTGTGTCACAATTTAAATATTAAACTGTCTATAATTTTATAAATTATAAATAAAAATGATCTAATATAGATATTTTTTTTAAAAAAAAAATGAAATATACGATACTTGTGGGAACTGCATGGTTTGCAGGAGGGGAATTCTTAAATCTAGCGTTTTCTTAGTATTGTTTCCGAATAAATACTTTTCAAACCTTTAAAATTTCCCCATAATATTGACACAACACACCAAAACGTATTTTCGCTTATGAAACGTAATATTTTTTAAACAAAAAACTCTCTTAAAAAAGTGATCCTGAAAATGTTAAAATTTTCGGTTTTTATTATAATTCTCCAAGCCATCTATGCGTCTACAAGCCATTCAATACTATATAATCTCTGTGGGAACAAACTCGCCAGGAAATAACTAATAAAAATTTTATTTGTGGAAGTATTTTGCTTTTAAAATATTATGATCAAAAGAATGGGTAAAAAATTTCTCAATTTGTATTCCAAAAATAGTTACACCAGCTCTCAAAAATAGCAGGAATTTAATATTTAGTTATTTTACGAATAATGTTCATTTTAAAAATATTTTATTTCTTCAAAATTATTAATTTAATTAAAATTAAAATAATTAAGAAAGGAATAGCTATTGATTATTGCCCTAAGACCACTTTTAATACAAACTTTAAAAATTTTCAATATGTTGGTGAGTGAAACTAATAACAAGTATTTTATAATATCAAAATAATGCAGCAATCCTTTTACGGCTAACGAATATTTATGTTGATGTTTTAGGCAGCTGCAGAAGGATAATCTAATTATAGAATTTGAGTTTCATTCAAAACTATTAAGTTTATAGAAATTAATGGTTTTTATAGATATGAAAGAGAATTAAATGAACAATAAATTCAATTAAAAAAATTCCTGATCAAGTTATGATATTAAATACTGGCATATTAAGTACCGGTACATTTTGTTGCAAAATTAATTTGATACGCCGTAGTTTTTTCAGTAATATTTACTAACAAACTGGTAATCAGAGTATTTAAATAAGTATTACTGTTAATATTAAGGTATAATTTTTCACGGTAAAAATGAATTTTTCAGTAAAATGAATTTTACTGCAAAATGACTTTTACGAATGCTACCCTCAGGAAGCCAATAATTTATACCGTGATTTTATTTTGAAAGTTTTTCATAATACACTATAAAAAAGGTTTCTTTAAATTGAGCAAAAATGTGTTAAAATAGTCCGAAATAAATATAGTAGAATTTTAACATATCCTGATTATTTAGCATAGTGACGTGTTTAAAATTGAAATAGCGCAGAGAATCAGTTTTCATTTGTAAATAACCATTGCGGCAAGGTAGGAAAGTATTAATTATCGATCTGAAGACATTCTTGAATTTGAGAAATGAATTTGTAGAGAAGGTAAGTGCGATAAAATTTTATCTAATGTCATTTCCTTTTCAAATATTTGATAATTAACTGATAAAATCTTTTATTTGTCACATCTGATGATGATTGATCATTTGATAACAAAATTATGAGACTGTGCATTTTTTGCAGACAAAGCAATTTAGACTATGTAGACTGTGCAGAAACTATGTAATGTGCATATTTTACATGCACATTACATAGTGTGCATATATTACAGAGTGCATATTTTAGCATAACAATGTTAATTTTTATTTCAAGTAAATTTTAGTGCTATTACATTTTATAACTTTTTATTTTATAAACGAAATCGTCTAGCTATTTTTTTAGGTTTAATTACATGTATTATTTCTATTCATCTATTGATTGATTTTTGATAAAAATGATTTTTTTTTCTTTTAAATAGTTCCTAAAACCAAAATATTAGGTGGTACTAACTTTTACGTTAGCGTGGGAAGCGAAGTGAATCTCACCTGCGTCATAACTGATTGCCCAGAAATGCCAGCTTATGTATTCTGGTATCATGGCTCACGGATGATCAATTTTGACAAAGGCCGAGCAGAGATTGTCCTGCAAAAAGCTGGAAATAACACAGCTATCAGTCGACTGAGGATTAAGAATGCACTTCCGTCTGACACTGGAAACTATTCGTGCAGTCCATCAAACGCTGATGTTGCCAGCATATTTGTAGATGTACTAAAAGGTTCGTATGGAATTCAGTCATGTGTAAACAGAATTCCTCTTATCAATGTGCTGAATTTTAAGTACAGAACAACTGTGTTTCATTGTTATTGGAAATGGCAATATAGAATTCTAATACTCAGCTTTAAAATAAAATTCTTTATCTAAGGAATCTAAACATATTTTTATCTCATTATATCTGTCATAAATAATCGGCTAAATGAAAAATTTGTAATATATTAAACAAAGCTTTAGCAACTGCAGGGAAATTACAAAGGCAGCTGTATTAGAATATTTTCTTACTGATCACTAGCTTTTGATTCTTTAACATCAAAAGAAACCTGTTTGATGTGCTGAAAAATAGTCTCGTCTTAATTCAACAGATTCGATTGGTAATACGCAAAGCAACAAATAAATACTTTACGTTACGGAGATGATTCTAAGTTATGTTAGAGAGATATACTGAGTTAAGGTGATTTTGCAAAGTGCTATGTCTTTATACTAACGCTATTTGAGTTTCACAACTCATGCAGGAAATTCTTCTACCAATCATGGTTTATCGCTAAGAGGTAGAAAATAATATTAGCGTTATGGTTAATGGAAGACAATCGCTACACAAGATCTCCCTATTATTTGAGAAATTTATATAATAGTCATTCATGCCATAGTCATACAGTCTTATAGTCATACATGCATGTTCTAAGCTGAGTAATTATTACAGAACTACCTTTGTTCTCTATTCAGATTGCGCAATCACACTAAATGACGCACCTGCTAAATCTTCTCATTAGAAGAATTTTATAATTTCACATGACATCAAACGCTTTAACGAAGTACACAAAATAAAAATAAAAAAAGTACATTTTGAACATATTTTTATCTAATGATTGAATTTTAATCGCCATTTTAATAGTTCAAGAGACTGACTCCAAATATGCTAATTAATTAGTGCCACCGATATTTTAAGTTATCAAATAAAACATAAAAAAAGTATTTTCTCTGAATAAATCTACCCTTTTTCTATGGATACATAACTTTAGTTCTCAAAATATAAATATAGAGGTAGCTGCAATCTGAAAAATTTGGTCCCAGTAGTTTGGCAAGAGTGCCGTCAAACATTTGGAATGCTTTATGATAATTCTACATTTTTCGAATTTCGTTGTGTTTCGAAAATGCTTGAATTGAATTGCAAAATTTGCGTTCATAATTATGAAATTAAATAATCCATTTATCCAATTTAATAATAATTTTTAAAGATTCTATTTAACAATGGTCGAATTAATTTTGAATTGTAAGGCATACAATTTTTACACCATTTTATAATCATGCATAAGAAGTGATATTTTAAAATAAGAATAACAGCAAATTCAAAATTGTGGGCACAGAAAAAAGCAGAAAATGGTAGTAATTATCGTAACAATAAGGAAGTAATTTTTTTAATATTTTGCTTTTGTTATGTAAAGAAATAAAGATTATAGTCTCTGTAAAAGGCTATTAATTTTAGTTAAAATACTACTAATATACATAAAAACTAAAAATGTATGTATATGCCAGTTGTATTTAGAAGTAACGAGCAGTACTGCATATAAATCATTGCTTTTTTTTGTTTCATGCCTGATACCGTTTGCATCAGATGTCAAACAACAAAAAAAATATTGTTTTTTTTTGCCCAACATAGCATTTACTTAAATACTGATTGTATCTGATTCAATGCTCTAAGTGATTGTAAAATAATTTCTGATCCAATTACGGTAAAAACTGCTGTCAACCAGTGTGCCAGTATATTTTAAAGTAAATTTTAATGAATCAAAAATCTGGAATACCTTCATTTTTTTCAGTTATATTTCAAATCAATGAATCATTGTAATTAAATAAACAGTACTGTGCAAATTATGTTATAAAATTTTATGGTAAAAATTGGCTTTTCGAAAACGGATTTTACGGATGCTTCATTTGGGGTCCCAGTATTTTTTACTGTCATTAAATCTGGATTTTTTTGCAATGCTCTCATTTTCACAATCTGTTTTAAATTGATGTTATGAAACTAAAAAAAACATTAAATAGTTTTAATTAATCTATTTATTTTTTAAATGTAGGTGAGAAACACGCAGCTGTGCAAAATGACGCAGCTTCCCCATCAAGTTGTTCTCGCTACTCATCCTCTCTCAACACAATGATCATTTACCAATCAGCAATTTTCATCACATTTGCTGCTCTTCGAATTAGGTGACACAAGTTTCCGCCAAAATATTGCCAAGGTAAATATTTTTCGTTTTAACCCACTATTATAACCCCGCGCATTAATTAATTTATTCGTTTAAATAAAGTCATATATTTATATTTTTTAAACAAAAAAGCACCTTTCTTGCATTTAATTTTCAATTTAATTTTCAGTACACCGTTACCATATGAATGGAAAAAATACCAATTAAATGGTTTAAATACCACTTATTTTGATTTTATTAACGAGAATTATTTATATACATATTTTTTTTACTAGAAAATTGCGCAGTCCGGCAATTTAATCAGAATTCATTTCTACTTGAGCACAAAAGACTTGCGAAATTATTATTTCACAAGTCTAACTTATTATCTCTTAGCATGCAATTCAATTTCGAAATCTTTCTGATACTTTAAAACTTAAAAACTCAGCTTTATTTAATATGAAATAAAAATCAAATAGTAAATCAAATATATTCAATTAGTAAAAATCCATCTGAATTCAGCTTATTTTGTCTGGAGAACGAAAAGCTTTAAAATTCGAATAAATACTTAATTATTTCTTTTTGATTTAAAATTTAGCTTCTTATAAATCATAAATTGAAGAAATTCAATTTAATAATGAAAGTTTTATAATTCAGTTATTAGTCATTGAAAACTTTTTTTCTTTCCCTCTAATAATAGTTTAAAAGCGATTTGATTCTTTTTGATCAATTTGAAAAGGAAAAAAAAAATTTTTTTGCAATTATTATCTAGAAAGATAAATGTATAATTTTACTTAGTATAATTACTGATGCAGAACATTACTTTTTATATAAATAAATTCAAAGGGTAACAAAAAAGATTTATATTTTATTGTCTCTTTCACATAATATGCTGCGATTTATGACTTTTGTAACTAGTGTTTTAAAACAATAAAAACATTTCTCTTGAGTACACTTTCCAGACAAATAAATGTCAATTATGAAAATTAAAAGACCATTTTCTCCAGAATAAAAAGAAAAAAAGAAAAAAAAATTTTTTTTTTTGAAATATTGCACAAAATTAAAAACAAAATTAGACTCTAATTTTCTCCCCAGTGTCTTCTAATATTATGTCTGAACTATTCATATCTAATGAATGGTTTATTTTTGCTTTAGACGATATTTAATCATAAATATTGTGTTTAAAAAATCTTATTTATACCTTTGATATTAATTCAAATTTATTTATTATTTCAATTTTATAAAAAAAATATTTAATTTAAACTTGGTTAGGGGTGCACCATAACTTTCATTGTAGGGTTTATAAATTATATGGAATTGAGAGACCGAGTGATTATATTCACTGAACAAAAATTTCGTCTATCTTGACACTAAAAATAGCGACAACCTCTGCCATTTTTTCCCAAACTTATGACTTTTGTGAACCCTTTCTAAATTTTTCGTTGCGCTGTGTACCACTTATAAAAAAAAATAATGTAATTTTTAAAAACTATGTTTATTTTTATCGACATATTTTAGTTATTAACTGTTAAATCTGCAAAAAATAGCCAATTGAAAAATACGTAATCGTAAATTTTATGGCTAGCTTTGTTTAAATTTTTTTCTTTAAACTTTTGCTTGTTGCAAGATATTTCGTATAAGAACGCGTACCCCCACTAAACTGTTCCCGTACCCCTAGGGGTACGCGTACCACACTTTGGGAAACACTGCTCTACACGAAGAATTTTCTATTACATTACCTCGCATAAAGTAGCCACCACCGTTTTTTTTTGTATTTAGTAGCATCAAAATATATTATTATAGTAAGATAAGATACGCATACTACTACTTAACAAAGTGGTATTCCACTACTCCAAGAATTTTCTACTTGGTGTAAAGAAACCATCTCAATTTTTTTGTTGTTTTGTTTATCTTAAATTACAAATTAAAATTTTTAATCTGAGTAAAAAAATACACACGAGAGCCAGTAACCTTATTTTTACGATACAATACAAAATAAGAATTCTTCATTTAGAACGATATATTCAAAAATTTGCAAAAAAAAAAATAATTATTGTTATGCAGCTATTGTTGTGTAGCTTTGGGAAGAATATCAAGACGAATTTGAACTAGGCTAGAAATAGAAGCGGATAAAAATTATACATGATAAAATAACTTTATGTAGTTCACAGAATTTCAAAAAAGGAAATATGATTTATCCTTTTTTACACAACAAAACACATGCATACATATTTTAACGACAAATCAACGAATCAATCAATCAAATCGCAACTATCGATTAAATCGCAACAAAGAACAACTAACTATTGATTGCAAATGAGATTTCTTGCAATAAAAATATCGCAACAACATTAAAGGTTTTCGAAAGGTTAAATAATTCTCGTTTTGTTTGAATAAAGGAAAATTTAACTTAACATTATTTAATTTTTAGTGTTTAGATTTAAATTACACCCTTTAAATCGTATATGAGTGCTCAATTTGGTGTTCACCCAGAATAAAGTGTCCCTTCACACATTTCTTCACACAGTGCTTTCTTAACATCATATTTGGAGAAATATTACAGCACATTTTTTACCGTGTAGAGATGTGCTTCCGAAACAATTATCACGTCAGGAATTATAATTCATATAGAGTTGAGTGATAGAATAATTATACAGAGTTACTCTTGCGCCAAAATATTTAGAGTCGGATTCATAAATTATATAGAGTTTAGTGATTATGTAGACTAGAGTAATGTTTGCTTCATAATTTTTATTGACATACATTATATAGAATAAAATGATCTACAGATATTTTTTATTTTAAATCCGTATTTTGCCTAGATCATTAAAAATGCAGCATATTGTTGTTTGATATACTTTGGATCACGTTGATAAAATTTTTTTACACTTAATGTTTTGAAAACGGTGGTATCTAAAATGCTGCTATAATGTTTGATTTTGTTTTTATTTTCAACTTCACCCGCTTGGGATTACATTGTCTGCTTGATTCTAATTATTGAATAGGGAAATAAAATTAATTTTGTCATAAATAAATGTAACATAAGTACATATGTATTATAAATTAATAATAATAGCTCACAGCATAAAGTTTCTACTTTATGATGACAATTTTTACATACGTTAGCAAAACTGAGTGTTTCAAAAGTAGTTCAAAAAATAGTGAGAAATATTTTTTAAATTTTATTTTTTAATAAATTCATTTTTTAACAATTTCATTTTTTAATAATTTTATTTTTAATAATTTCATTTTTTAATAATTTAAATTTTTTTAATAATTTAATTTATTGAAATAAAAATGTGAGTTTCTGTATTTCATAGTTTTTTATGTTCAATATTGTGTAATCTGTTTTTGTTTTTTTTAAACTATTTGGTTTGCTTTGTTTAATGAAAAAACTGTAAAAATATATTTTTTTCTAAAAATATTTATGAATATTTACTTTTTAAAATTTAACATAAGGCGCTATAATACACTCTGTAAAAACCTGTTTAATTTACAAAAGGAAAAAAAAAACTGTTTGCTGATGGGATATTTTAACAAAAGAACTATGTTATTTTAACAAAAATTTCTGTTTCTTTCATAAAAAAGCCTCTATTAAGTACCCAGGAGAGCATTGTGCCGAAAGCCGAACTCGGATGACCAGTGAACGCTTTTGAGAGGCGAGCGCGATGTCCCCTGTGCTATGGGAGTATCTATAGTTTCTATAACTTCGCTATGAAAAAAAAAATCTTAATCTGTTTCTATGTTAGAAGTCTTACTTATTGAAATCATAATTAAGAGTAAAAACGTTTAAAACTATATTGACTCACACTTGTAAAAATATCTGGCTATTTAACTTACCCAAACATTAGACTGATAACTCATAATAATCAGGAAAGATATAAATTCAGAAATGCAATCGAATCGTAATTTTATTTACACGATGTGCAGAGTCATAAAATAATTTCGGAAAAGTACAAGCAATTATAGAAAATAATGATAAAATGATTTGGAAAAAAAATAAGTACTCTTACGGTAAACAAAACTGCAGGGCAAAAGCTAGGATTTAAATTGACAGTTTTAATCCGTTTATAATTAGGATGTAAAATAGTTAAAAACTGTTTTATTGAAAACAGCCATAAGCTGTCAAATATACTGAGCAAGTAGGAGATTGGATAACAATCAAAAACAGAAAGAATATGTATTTATCTTAAAACAGTTTTTATTTTCGTAGAATTTATAATTATTTTTTTATAGTACAAAAGAAAAAAAAAACTTCCAATATAACCCAATACCATCGCACTTTCTTAGCGGAATAGTTCTCCGAGAGGATGGCCATACATAATACATAATATTTTGTTAGATATTAACGATTCTACGCAATGAATCTAATAAAGTGCTACCTTTCGCCGTAGTTTCGACATAGTATGCTTTATTGGATTTATCTCCATGGTTTATTGTGCTACCGAGAAATCAATAATTGTTATTTATTTGGTAGTACCATGGATGATTTGTTATTCTTATGGAGAGAAATAAAGCTGTTATTAAATGAGGAGAAATGAAGATTCATATTACAATATGTGCACTTTATGGACATTAATATTCAAACTGTGTTTTTTATATAACATTAATCTATTATAATATTGTTGTCTTTATTTGCTTTTAAATGCGCAAAGGGAATGGTTTGTAATTATTGCTATCTAGACTAACGTGATTAACTTTGTTCAATCAATGATGTCTTTTTACAAAACTAAAATAAATGATTTTGTACGCCTAAGAAATTATACAGTTAGACGTTAAATTTTGTGTTCGGTCATGAGCACAAAAAGTCACATTACGACATGCATTCGGTGTCCGAAAGCAATATAATTTTTACTGTTTTTGAAGGTGTCTGAAAGAAATATAATTGTTATTGTTTTGTATTGTAAATTGTAATTGTAAAGTACCGTGTATGTTGTGCTACTTTTACAGAGATAAGTAATGTCGTCATTACATGAGGAAGAGGGACGATTAATATATGCTTTTGGTGAATATTAATTAAATATGAAACATAAATCATATTTTAGTTCATAAAA